CGGAGTGGATCCAGAGACATGGAGGCATGGAACAGAGTGGGAACCTCAGAGGGAGGGCGGGGGAGGGTGGGTGGGTGGGAGGTAATCAATCAAAGACCTTGTGTGCAGATATGCATGGCCAGGGGCACAGACAATGGGGTGCTGAAGGCCTGGGGCAAGGGGTGGAGGTGGGCTGGAGGGAGCCAATGGGGGGAAAAAGGAGACGTATGTAATACTTCCAACAAAGATTTTTTAAAATAATAATAATAGCTCATGTCTACTAAATACTGACCTTGACCATGTCCCAGGCCCTTTTCTACGTACTTTACACGTATTTGGCTCATTTTATCGTCACAACCATCTTACAAGGCCACCCCCTTCACAGAGAGGAGAGAACTGAGGCTCAGAAAGGTTAGAGAGCGGCCCAGGGTCCGCACGGCCTGAATGTGGCGAATCCATGGGCGAGGCCTCTGTTCACAGCTGCCAGTAGGGGCCCCAGTCAGTGTGTCTGTGGGAGCAAAGTAGGGAATCGGAAGCTCATGAATCTTCAGTCGGTATTTGCACGGGCGGTTCTCAGACAGGGTGCCCTAGGCCCACTCTCCATTTATTTCCTTCTTCTTCGATCTCTCTCCTCGGGGTTTTGTAATTTCCCTCCTAGGGATCGTGCACGTAGATTTACACCTAAATAGCTCATGTTTGTGCTAATGTAGGTGGTGTTATTTTTACATTCCGATTGTTCATTGCTGGTATAAATACAGGAAGTGGATCGGCTTTTGTACATGAACCTGCAAACTTGCTGTAATCGATATTTGTTCCTCGTCAACTTTTAGTGCATCGTTTGAGGTTTTCTACAGAGATGGTGATGTCATCTGTAAACAAAGTTTTACTTCTTCCTTCCCAACAGAGACACTTGTTTTTTTAAATAAGTAGATTTATTTTTAAAATACATTTTATTGATTTTTTGCAGAGAGGCAAGGAGAGGGATAGAGAGTTAGAAACATTGATGAGAGAGAAACATCCATCAGCTGCCTCCTGCACACCCCCCACTGGGGATGCGCCCACAACCAAGATACGTGCCCTTGACCAGAATCGAACCTGGGACCCTTCAGTCCGCAGGCCGATGCTCTATCCACTGAGCCAAACTGGTTAGGGCCCCAATAGAGACATTTTTAATTTCCTTTTCTCTTCTAATTGCAGTGGCTGGGACTGGCGGCACGATATTGAAAAGGAGTGGTGAGAACAGACCCCTGGCCTCGCTCCTGACCTGAACAAGGGAGCTCCTAGCTTCTTTCCATTATGATGTCAGAGTTTTGTTGCTGTCCCTTACCCACGATTCACTCGAGAAAGTCCTCTTCTATCCCTACTTTGCCGAAGCAATATCAAAAACGTACAAAAAGTAGTGTGTACAGTTCGATTCTAATTTTGAGAAGAAAATACTTTCTATTGGAAAAGCGTGTGGAAGGCAACCCACTGATAAAGTAGTCATGTGGGGCCGTTAGAAGGGGTATTTTTTTTCTTGACATAGTTCTGTATTTCCTAAACTTGCCCTGATGAACGTACATGTATTTTATTTTTTAACAACAGAACAATAACGTTATAAAAAGCGATGACGTGTTCTGGAGAGCTGGCTTGCAGACAGAAAATAAGACGATTAAAGGCTAACGTAGCCAAGCTGGTGTAGCTCAGTGGTTGGGTGTCTACCTATGAACCAAGTCACGGTTCGACTCCCGGGATTTCGGGCTTGATCCCCAGTGGGGGGCGTGCAGGAGGCAGTTGAGCCATGATTCCCTCTCATCACGGATGTTTCTCTCTCCCATAAAAATATATTAAAGAAGAAAAAAGAAACGAAACGGAACGGAACTGCTCAACCTGGAGCAGGAGGGCCTGGCAGGTCTTGGCCGAGGGGAGGAGTCGCCGGGCGGAGGAGGTGCCTGGTGCCTCTCAGGAGCGCAGTGCACGCCCCTGGCCACGGGGAGGGGCAGCAGCGCCCCCACCTGGCGCCGGCGTCGCGGGCTTGTCGCGGCACCGCCCAGCTCAAGGTGCGTGAGAAGAGGAGCGCACCCCCGGAGTGCCGTGCTCCTCCCCGGGCCCGGTCTACCCGCGGATCCGGCTGGGTGCTGAAAAGTTGATGTGTCCACGGCGCTCGAACGGCCCTTGACCCCCCCGG